TGAAAAAAAAAAGAACTATTGAACTAATTACAATACAATCACATTAAAAAAAATAATCATTAAACAAACTACAATCACATTACATTTTTCTAATGGATACTTTATGTTTGATTCACTTCACTATTAGTGAAGTATTAATAATCCTATCAAATTAGTGTGGTGTTAACTATCCCACCTCTACTCCATTACTAATAATCCTACAAATTTGTTGGATTAATTATCCATTGGATTAATAATCCTAAACCAAAGTGTCAAAACAAACATAGGATGATTGGGCCCACGGATTAATAATCCCAATCCCATGCTTTAATCCTTCCAATCAAACATACCCTGGCCATGTTTGATTCACAATACTAATAGTGAGGTATTAATAATCCTATCAAATTAGTGTGGTATTAACTATCCCACCCCTACCCCATTACTAATTATCCTACAAATTTGTTGGATTAATTATCCATTGGATTAATAGTCCTAAACCAAATGTCAAAACAAACATAGGATGATTGGGCCCACGGATTAATAATCCTAATCCCACACTTTAATCCTTCCAATCAAACATGCCCTATGGGTACTTTACGTAAACCATTGAACTAACTACAATCTGTAGTTAAAAATACAACGAATTAAAACCCAATCACAAATTAAGTCAATTGGTAGTTAAAAATGCAATCACATTTTTGCTCATAATAATAATAATAATAATAATAAAAACACACTGAGTTAAGTCAATTGATAATTAAAAAACATAATAATTTTTTTTTCAAAAAATAAGTTATTTTTCAAATTACAATCACATCACATTTTTCTCATAATAAAAAAAAAACAAATGAAAAAAAAAAAAAAAACCATTGAACTAACAACAATACAATCACATTAAAAATAATAACCATTGAACAAACTACAATCAATCACATTTTTCTCATAATAAAAAAAGTAAATGAAAAAAAAAAGAACCATTAAACTAAGAAAATCAATTACAATTTTTTTTTCTTCAAAATACATTCTAATGATCATCAATAATGGGTACTTTATGTGAACCATTGAACTAATTATAATCGGTAGTTAAAAATACAACGAATTAAAAAAATAATAATTTATTTTTCAAATTACAATCACATCACATTTTTCTGATAATAAAAAAAACAAATGAAAAAAAAAAAACCATTGACCTACCTACAATACAATCACATTAAAAAAAAAAAAAAACTACTGAATAAACTACAATCACATCACATTTTTCTCATAATAAAAAAAATAAATGAAAAAGAAAGAACCATTAAACTAACTACAATACAATCACATTTAAAAAAAGAATCATTGAACTAACTACAATCACATTTTTCTCTTATGAGTGTATGTTGATCTAATTTCAATCATATTAAAAAATCAAATTATATTTTTTTTTTCTAGACAAAATACAAATCACAAAAGGAGATAACTTCAATCATACAAATCACAAATATTTTTATGCTATCTAACTACAGTCATATCTTTTTCGTAATAAAAAATAATAATTGTAAAGAAGAATCATTGAAACAGTAAATAAAAAGATTAAATCACATGTAAAATATATATATATAAATATATATATATATATATATATATATATATATATTGAACAAACAACAACACAATCATATTAACTACAATACAATCATATTTTAAAAAAAAATCATTGAACAAACTATAATACAATCATATTTAAAAAAAAAACCATTGAACAAACTATAATTACATCACATTTTTCCCACAATAAAAAAAATAATTGAAAAAAAGAAGAAGTGAGACACAATCATTGTAAAAAAGAACCAAAAAGAAAGAAATGAAATACTCACTGTTTGGTCAGCGTTTGCAAGGGAGATGTGAAGTGTAACGCCCTCAAAAAATATGATATAAATCAACCATTCATATGATTTATAGACATAATAGAAATGTTATATTCTCTATATTACAAAAGATATTACATGCATTACACTTTCATTAATGTTCATCTTGAAACTATAGCATGTAACTCTAATTGTTAACAACAAAAATAAGTGCCCTACGGGCTTACATCTTTTCAAGTTGTCACTTGGTTACAATAAAAGAAGAGTCCTACCTTTATACATGTAAAGCTCTTGGCTTGAATTTACATTAAACACAAAACAAAAAATGTAAAATAGAGCCTTCAGCCCCTAAACCTCCCAAGCGATGTCCTTGGAGGCGGCATGTCACCTGTATCTGAAAATGGTTTCCCAAGTAGGATGAGCCAAAACCCAGTAGAGATTTGCTAAACAATATATGAGAATTAACTAAGCTATCAACAACAGATAAATGTTCAATACTAGTAAACCAACTTACACCTTTTTCATGACCAATCAATATCGACATTCGTATTTCAGTCCATTTCTATTCATTTACCCAAATTAATTCATTAACATAGTTCATTATTATCTAAACAATTCAAAACGAGACTACAACTCATTTATCAACACTTCAATAACAAACATTATTCACCACTTCCTTTTTCTTGCCATTTTACGAAGTCACATCCGAGGGAACCGGCGCCCATAAATATACAAGATTTCGGGACTTTCACCCTGGACACTCCGGCCAACTTAATTCTCAATGAAGTCCATCTCTTATCTCCTCCCACACAATGGAGTACATCTCTTATCTCCTCCCAAACAACGATACATGTACAATGTATTTAAAAGCATGTCATATACAATGACTACCAAAATTTACATATTCAACAATTTAATCAATCCGTCCTATTCAATGACAATATTCATATGACTAGTTTCAATTTACCTAGTTCTCATGCAGTTTCTACAACAATTATAGCTATCCTCCACCAATAGTCCAAAACAGATATTTTCTAAACAGATAAAAAAATCCATCAACAGATAAATTATCAACTTTTTCATCGGTGTGTGATTTATCAAACCAAACTACACCATTCAATCACATATTCCCCTACTTTCATAATTCCCAAACCAATTTCATTATTTACACAAATAGTTATTTCAACTCAACTTAGAGCAATTTTTCCCCTATTCCAAAACATCAACCCACAGGTTCAAATCTCATAATTTTAACAATAAAAAACCTCATACACAAACCCCCAAGATTACTTTGTAAAACAACATGAAAACCCCTCTTTATTTAAGAGCCCAAACCTTAACTTTTACCCAAATCACTCTCAAATCCCTCTATTTATACAAATGACAAATATCTAGGTTAAAACCCATATCAAAGAGTAGAATATCCCTACCTCAAAGCTATGAGACCAAAGGAGATGATGAAGAGCTTCAAGAATGCCCCAAATTCGGTTTTGCTCGGATAAAAAAAAAGCCCTTGAGATGCTCCAACACTTTAACAAAGGGACTAGGGTTGAGAGATGCTTAGATCTAGGGTTATTTGTAGAGAGAGTGTGTGTTTTGGAGAGAGAGAGACAACCGATCTAGGGTTTTTAGGAGAAAAAAGATCAAAAAGTGAAGTAAAATCACTCTACTGCGAACTGATATACGCGACCTTCGCTCGAGCGAAGAAGTTATCGCTCGAGCGACCAGACACAACAAGTAAGCTCGCTCAAACACAAGAAGCGTCGCTCGGGCACAGAATGCAAAGCTTCAGGTCTACCATAGACACAAACGCACGCTCGAGCGCAAGAAGTCTCGCTCTAGCGAAGGAACAATTCCACAAAGCTCGCTCAAGCGCAAAAAACCTCGCTCGAGCAAAGCATTTCACCTTTCCAGAAAAGCTGCGTCTGGGAAAGAAACTTGAAGACCCTTAATCCTCGATCAAGAGCAAGAAACCTCGCTCGAGCAAAGAAGCAAACTACTCAAGGCTCACTCGAGCGAAGAGACCAAAATCTGGGCAACAACCATTTATACCAACTAACAACCAACCTGTTTCAAACTCACCCAACAAGCCCCAAAACTCAATTTCAAGGAATTAAAGGGAAGAAACAAGACATAGACAACAACATACAATCACAGAATCTGAGTCCGGAACATAACAAAGGTCGGGGTAAAATCGGGATCGCTATATGAAGAATTGCTCACTGTTCACATAAAAATAAAATAAAATAAAAACAAAAATAAAACTATTGAACTAATCAGAAAGGCAAAATGAAAGGCTAACTGGCTCACTGTTTACATACGTGAGAAAGAGTTATTGCTCACTGTTTGCTCAGTGTTTACAAGGGAGAAATGAAGAAGTGTTACTCGTAAAAGTGAAATGAAGAAGTTGAAAGGGTCCAATAGGTATGGTAGAAGTGAGGAAGCTGCAATAGGTATTTGAAAAGTTATAAATGGTGTGTTTATTAGAGAAGTCAAAAAGATTTGAAAGAATTCAATAAGTGCTAATTTTTAAAAAAAAAAAAAAAAAATCTATTGCAGAAATTGAAAAGACTTGAGAGAATTCATTTGTTGAGTTTTTTTTTTTTAAAAAAAAATTAAAAAATTAAGAAATTAATGTTAGGATATTAGAGCTCCCACAAGACTTATGAGTTAAAACTCCCCTTTTCTTTATATAATGTATAGATAGATAAATAAATAGATAGATAAATACATTTTTTTACATAAATACATTTATTTAAATTACATCAATAAATATTTTCTCTGTATTACCTTACACATCATTTTATAAAAAAATCAAAATATATACTTATTTAAAATATTTTAACCCAACCCCAGTTCGGGGGATTGTTGAAAAGCACGAGAATTCTACCGAATTAATCTCAACCCTGAAACAAAAAAAAATATCTTGACAAGATTATCTCCCACGTGTCAGTTCCCAGTAACTCCAAAAATACAAAAAAAAAAAAAAACTAGCTTCCGGAACATTCCCGAACACTAAATAATAGAACCCCATTCATTGTCCTTTTCTTTTTTTTGAGATATTTTTAGCAAACTTCTGTTGAAAGTGGACCCCACTTCAACCAAAACCGACTCTCTCGATGTATAATATACGAGCATATGCATCAGAACCCATTTCACTTTCATTCGTCTTCATAAAAGATTCTCAAGAAGCGAATCGTAAATTCGGAGATTGATATAGAGATTGAATCACTTTGAAGCTTTCGACGATGGAGTCCGATCAGAGTTGGACTTCTTCTTCTTCTTCGTATTACGGTGTCCTCGGCGTCACTGCCAACTCCTCCGATGAAGAGATTCGCCGTGCCTATCGCAAGCTTGCTATGGTATGTTATGTTTTTTGGGATTTGCTTTTTTAATGTTAATTTTCTATGGAGTTTTGGATTTTTAATGGATTTGTGTGGTGGTGGTAATGATTGAATTGGTGCGTGCAGCAATGGCATCCTGATAAATGGACAAGAAACCCTTCTCTTTTGGGTGACGCCAAGCGCAAATTCCAACAAATTCAAGAAGCTTATTCAGGTTTCTTTCAAATTTCAACATTTTTAGTAATTTTTATCATGTATTTTGTTTATTTGTTATTACTACTACATCTACTTTTTGATGTATTCGTCTGTCTGTCACATGTTTAACCAAATATTATATAAAGTAAGAAAATGCATTACATTTTTGGTGTTGTTTTTTAATCCTGCTTACCATGGTCTTCATTTGTTTCTTTTGGAAGTGGGTTATAATATGCTTTTCAGATTGTAACTCACTTCCTCTCTAAAAAAATAAAAAAAATAAAAAAAAAAGCTGTTTATAAGTAATTTTTCCCCAAAAAATTAATTTGATTATAACTATCTTCCTAAAATAGTCCTGAATTGAAAATCTATAACTGAAAAGAAATGAGGGAGAACACTAATTAGTGTTACCATTAATGATGTGACAGTAAGTCTCACCATGAATGATTTAATGTTTTAGCCTTGGTATTGTATTTTTTTTTTTTATAAGTGTCATGTCATTAGTGATCTTTTTAGAGTTTCAAAGTTAGTGATATATATCATTGTTACAGTTTTTTTAGTTGGGTAGTCAATTAATGCAAAATTTTAAATTTTCATATTTGCCCTCAAGTTTATGAAACCGAATCCCTTATTTGTGAGGGCAAAATTGGTAACAAAAATAGCCAGTTCAGGCCAACCTCTTAATATAAAAAAAATAATTTAATTTATGGGTTTGAACTGGTTTGATTGGAACTGCAGTATTGTCGGATAAGAGGAAGAGAACAATGTACGACGCGGGATTATATGATTTTGTTCAAGAAGAGGATGAGGTGTGTATATCTTTCATCATAAATTGGTGCAAGTTTGCATGTGTAATTTGTTGTGTTAATATTTTTGTACATGTTTCTGATTTTTGATTGATGGTTCATTTGGAGTTTAATGCTGCTGGCAATTTGTTAATTATTGTATTGAATTGATTTCAGGGCTTCTCTGATTTTCTGCAAGAAATGATGTCTCTAATGGCTGAGGTTAGGAGAGAGGTATGAACATGATTAACTCAGTTTACTTGTGTGTTGGATGTCTAATCATTGTCTTCTTTTGAAATTACTACTATGTTTGATGTAATCCCATTTTATTTTATTTTATTTTTTGTATGTATTTTTCCTGCTCTGTTTTCCATAGTTATTGGCATCATCTCTCTTTTCCTACCATTTAATTATGTTTCCCAAGTGTTTCTCTATGAAAGTTCTTAGAAATGGGTTTAATTATGTAGAAGCGAATTGTGAAAAATGAGAACTTGTTAATGGAACTTAGGAGGTTTATAAGACAACAAACACTGAATCTCCCCTTCTAGTTAAATTTGCCATGGTAAGGACTCTTTCCAGCATTGTCTGAGCCATAGGCTAAGCTGGAATAAGACCCAACTCATCCAACCCATAATCATTACACTCTTCTCTCACAAAAAAAGTCAAAAAAGTCAAAAAGCCCTTTCCAAACCAAACTTTTTAGCCCAGACTAAAATAGCCAAAAAAGCCAAAAAGCCAACCCACTTCCCAAACGGAGGCTTAGGAGGTTTATAAGACAACGAACACTGAATCTCCCCTTCTAGTTAAATTTGCCATGGTAAGGACTCTTTCCAGCATTGTCTGAGCCATAGGCTAAGCTGGAATAAGACCCAACTCATCAATGTCAAGATAGTAATTCTAAGGAAAGGATATTTACCACAATAAAAATGAGAATGGAATCAATATGATTTTAATTTAGGAAACAAAGTTGAGAATCTGCGCATGTGGCCCAGTAGTTAAGGGGTTGAAGAAAGTGATAGTAGTGTTGCATCAAATAATTATGGGTAATTATTGAGGTCTCTTGTTTCATTCTCAGAGGTGCATAACACTCTGGTTTAACCTATACCCAATACACCTGTGGTTTACAGTTTATTGCATGTATTGAGAAAAAGAAAAAGAAGTGAACAAAGTGGCTTGCTTATTATTGTTGTGGTTGTTGTCGTTCTATTTGCTTTTGTTTCTATATTTAGGCTGATGCCTTATTGTGATTGTGCATCTGTGACCACCTCGCTTGTGGGTGTGGGGTTGTATTGTATGCATTGGCCAAAATAAATTGGTGGTGGTTAAGGATTACCCAATTTGTGGTAGTGATAGTTTGATGTGGATGTGCCTGGATTTTTTTTTGTTTTTCAAGTCGTTGCACATCTTAGATAACCAACCAAGCATACTGAGGTATTTTCATGGATGCCTTTGCACAGGACAAGATTTACACAATGGAAGAATTGCAGAGCATGTTAATGGAAATGGCCAAAGGTTTTGAGTATCCATCGGAGCGGTCTTATTCCCCTCAGTGCCAGTGGCCTTCTTCATACGAGTCTTTCCAATGGGGTTGTGCGCCGTTGAAGTTTGATGACTCTGGAAGTAGTTCAAAGAAAGCTCGATGTGATGCAAATCCAGCAGTGGCTGCAACCAGAACCAGCTCACATTTACAAATGTCGGGTTTTGGGATGTACGGGACAAACTATTTTTGTAATTAATCAGTCAGTACAGTACCCTGTCCATCTGTCAATGTAAAGGATTGATCATCCATCATGCTATGGCATAGGGTGTCACCAGAACAGAAGAACAGTTTTCCTTGTTCTTTCTGGATTTAGATGGTAAATGTTCAGTTGAGATGGTTACACCCATTGTGGAAATTTGTCAGCATTTTGGGCTTTTGTGAGTGGTGGCTGTGATGAATTATTGTAAATCTGATTATGGAATTTTTATTACGGGCTATTGAAATTTGGATCATGCGAATAATTGGCAATCTTTTCAAAGGGGAAAAGAAGGTTCATTTCATTTGATCATTTGATTTCATGTTCTTTGAATTTTGTTGTTTGTACATTGGGCTACCTTTTTTGTAAAAAAAAAAAAAATTATTAATTAGAAAGGGTATGGGTAGTGCATCCACCAGGATAGCCCTTTCTCCATTCATCTAGTTGAGAGCGACACAGAGATATATAGTTGTTGATATTTTGCTTACATTTTTGGCTGATCCGTGGCTTCAAACTAATTTTTTCTATTTAGTGCATGTACTTATAAGTAACTTATCATTAGGGTTGTTTCGAAAGTATTAAATTAATATATTTTTCGATTTTTATGAAAAAATGTGAAATATGAGTTGAATTTAAAGTAATGTTATAAAAAGGTGATGTAGGTGTCGTTTGAGAAGAGTTCATTTGGGCTCTTTTAGCTTTTTGAGCCACAAAAAACAGAATAGGCTATTTGAGCCACAACAGACAAAACATCACATCCAATCCATAATCATTACACTCTTCTTTCACAAAAAAAGTTTAAAAAGTCAAAAAGTCCTTCTCAAACCAAGCTTTTGAGTCTAGGCTCAAATAGTCAAAAAAAGTCAAAAAGTTAAAAAGTTAACCCACTTTTCAAACGAAGGCGTAATTTAAATAAGAAATTATATGATTTATAAGATGATTGTGATTCAAATAAAATGATATGTTAAAATAACATGCCAAACAACTACTTATTACCTTAATTTTGAAAGTTGTAGTATGGTTGTAGGTTTGGTTAGGAGCTTTCAGTTTTAATGTTATTGTTTCAACCAATTTCTCTTTGATTTGATATTTTTTCTTAATTGATGATTATGATTTGGATTGCTTTATTATAATTAACGTTGTATGATTTTCTAGAGGATTCAAAGTTTTGTTTTGTTTTGTTTTTGTTTTTTTTTAATGATATCTGATCTTTTTTTCTTTTTTTTTTTCATGAGTTATCATTAGTTCGTAATTAAGTTGAGATTTTCTCTTTGGACTCTCTCCTTATTTCCTTATAAAGGTGGAGATGCACATTAAACGGTCCATATTTGGGCTAGAAAAGTAAATTTGAATTTGTTTATTATTTGTTATTTGAAATAATCAAATTTGAATTGTTGGATCAATTTAAAGTGTATTTTTACCATTGTAAGTAGGAAGATAAGAAAAGAGTCAGAGAGGATCTCAACTCGTCACAATTAGAGCATCTCTAATGCATCCTCCATAACTTCAAATATGAAGGATTTGTTCTTCCAACTCATCCTCTAAATCCATCTCTATTTGAGAGGAGGATGAGTTGATTCTCCAAATATGAAGGGAGGATGAAAAATAGAGGATGCCCTCCAAAACACTATTCATTCTATATTTTTTATTATATTACAAATAACTTTTAATATGTAAATTTAATTTTTATAAAATTGACATCATTAAAAAATGTGAAATCATACCTTTAAAATGAGTATAATATTAAATATATTTTACAAAAATTTTAAAATTAAATATTTGTTAATGAACAAAAATTACTTTTTGATGAGGAACGATGAAGAGATTTGAAGGTTTATGGTTGGAGCTTGAATGAATAATAACATACTCTATATTTACTTTTTGAATAAAAAAAATTATTGTTATCCTCTTGGTGAGAGGATTGGGTTGGAGATGCTCTTAGAGCATCTCCAATGGAGGCTCTATATCTTCAAATATAGAAGATCCTTTGAAAAAATTCACTCCAACCCATCCTCTATATATCCTCCTCTATTTGGGAGGATGGATGTTTCATCCTTCAAATTTGAAGGGAGTATGAAAAATGAAGGATCATCTCTATAGCACTATTCATTCTATATTTTTTATTATATTATAAATAACTTTTAATATATATATTTAATTTTTATAAAATTGACATCATTAAAAAATGTAAAATCATACCTTTAAAATGAGTATAATATAAAATATATTTTACAAAAATTTTAAAATTAAATATTTGCTAATGAACAAAAATTACTTTTTGATGAAGGGAGGATGAAGGGTTTTGAAAGTTTGTGGTTGAAGTTTGAATAAATAATAACATACTCTATATTTATTTTTTGAATAAAAAAAATTATTTTCATCCTCTTGGGGAGAGGATTGGATTGGAGATGCTCTTAGCCAGTTATTCTTCACCTTTTTCCATGACAGCACAACTTCCTTGAGATGGCCTCGTTTGGGGACTTACTTTTTTAGTCAATTAGTCAAAAAGTTACTAAATTAGCCAAAAAGCCAACAACTCATACCAAAAAATCAAAAATTCTCTTTTCTTTCTACTTTTTGCACATCTTTTCGTAATTAGCCAAAAAGTCATCCCAAACATACAAGTTTTTTTTACCTACCTTTTTAGTCAAATAGCTAAAAAGTTACTAAATTAGCCTATTCCCAAACGAGGAGACAACATTGATGGGGGCTATCCGGATTAGGGCGTACTATTGGACCCGTAGAGGTTTATTATGGGTCCGTTTTAATAATCCAAACCGTTCAATATATAAAACTCGTTAAATACTTTATTTTCATAAAAATCACATTGATCAAATATCAAAAGTTACTTGATCAGATCAAATTTTTATCAATGGTAAATATAATTTTCACTACGCCAAGATTGGGCTTTAGCGGCGGTCCTTTACCACCGTTAAAGGATGTAAAACCGCTGTTAAAGCCTTTAACAGCCGTAATTTAGGACTGCCATTTATACTCATGTCAGAAAAGATACAATCGTCGTAAAATGATAAATTATCGTTGTTAAAAGTCGACCAAAAACGGCAGTAATATAAGACAAAAAATGGCGGTTCTTTACCGCTGTAAATAGGTTCAAATTTTTTAAAAAATAATTCTCTCTTCTTGCACCCTCAGGTCTCGAACCCTTGACCTTTAATCCACACATGCCAACCACTCCACCATAACCACTCTATATGAAATATATTCCCTAAATAAATATTTAAACATTACTTTTGCTTTATCGTAGATGGTCATGTTCAATCTCTGGCCGTGCGTGGTCACCACTAGCCGGAGTTCTACCGGACCTCTGCCGGCAAAGACCGTCGTCATTAACGGCGGTAATGAGAGGGCATTAGTGGCGGTTTCGTTACCGCCGTTAAAAAATGGCTTTAGTGGCAATTTTTTTAACGGCGGTTTCATTACTGCCGTTAAAGATACTTTAGCAGTGATTTTTTTAACGGCGGTAATGAAATCGTCGTTAAAAATACATTAATGGCGGTATTAACGGCGGTTTCGTTACCGCCGTTAATAGTATCTTTAACGACAGTAATGAAAACCGCCGTTAAAAAAATCGCCGTTAATGCCCTGTTTTGGCATAGTGTTTTAAAATAAATTATTAACAAAAATCAGATCCGATCAAATAACTATCGATATTCGATCAAAGTAATTTTTTATAAAAATTAAATACTCGACAAAATTTACACATTAAATGATTTAAATTATTAAAACAGAATGCATGAGCATCTCCAACGGTAGTAGGCATTTTACCTATCTAAATATTACAACAATGCTACAGACCCCAGTACGGACCACCCCCACTGACCCCCAGTGCCACGTGTTGGCCCGGGATTGGCCGGAAACTTTAAAAAAAAAAAAAAAAAAAAAAAAAAAAAACAGTTTTTTTGCCCAATCATGGGCGACCCCCAGCACCCCCAGCTGGGGGTCCAAGTCATTTTTCCTAAATATTACTATAAAGTATATATTTTATTTTGGCTATCAACTGTTTTATATTTTTACTCCAACCATGCTCTTTATTTTAGCTATTAATCCAAATACTATTAATTTTATAGAATGCCATATCAACAACAAAGATGGAGAGAAATGATCCTAATGATTGAATACATTTTACCTAGCGTTGAAGACTAGCTACATGTAGCTAGTGAATATGAGTTGAGTCAAAATGTCTAATCATATGCCTAGTGCGTTGGAATTGAAAAAAATGAATCACACTAGGCATTTTAACTAACAAGTATTATATGCCTAGTGCATTGGAAATGTTCTAAAAGTCCAAAAACACTGACAAGCTGCCGTCGATTGATGGATTGGGTAATTATTTGAATGACCTGACGCTAATCTGTAAGGTTTGTTGTGATGGCAGTCACCAGCCGGATTCGGGTCGGATCCGCATTATTTAGTAAGAGATTTTTGTGTTTATTTAAGCTTGTGCGATTTAAATATTGGGTTTATATAATCATTTCAAACGCAATTTTAATTTAAATAATAATTTTTAAATTCATTCATCCACAATCAATATCGACATTCGTATTTCAGTCCATTTCTATTCATTTACCCAAATCAATTCATTGACATAGTTCATTGTTATCTAAACAATTCAAAACGAGACTACAACTCGTTTATCAACAGTTCAATCATAAACATCATTCATACACTTCTATTCACTTGCCATTTTACGGAACTACGTCCGAGGGAACCAACACCTAAATATATATGTAAGATTTCGAGACTTTCACCTTGGACACTCCAACCAACTTAATTATCAATGGAGTCCATTCCCTATCTCCTCCCAAACAATGGAGTACATCCCCTATCTCCTCCCAAACAAGAAAAATTAAAATTACGAATTAGTGTATTTTGTTAATTTAATTATAAATTTGTATTTAAGATAGCAGTGGAATGGATGAAAATAAATTTACATGTTTGTGCAATTCTTAGAAGTTAATTACTAATTAAAGGACAAATTTATCATTTTATATTTTAATATATATAAAATTTATCAGTAATCTATAAATATTTTTTAAAACTTTTACTTGCAGATACTATTTCCTATATAAAAAAATGTATGTAACTTTTTTGGTTATGAGTTTTAAAAATAATTTCTTAATTGAGTTTTGTTTTATGCATTTTGTTACAATTTGAGTGTAGAGTTGTTTTTAAATTTAAAATATTAAAATTTTAAATTATTTTAATTTTTTAAATATTTAAATTTTTACGATTTAAAATTTTTGAATATTTA